TAGCATTTCCTCACTTATTCTTATCAAAATCTAAATCATCCTGTGATGGAGTGATAGAAGCAGGGGCTTCCATCTTTTGGGCACTGATGATGTGTAGACACTTTGCATGTTATTTTATATCTCCCTAGCTTATGTAACCCTATCGATCATCCTTATTAACCTGTATCATTATAAACGTATTACCTATATTTTGTAGATGAGAAACTGAGACAGAAAGCTGAAGTCACTTGGTCCAGGTCAGCTGGTTGTGTGGCCTGTGATGTCTGACAGAACAGATTGGCTTCTAGTCTGGACCAACTCAGGGACCAGTGGTTTCTCACCTAGAAATGGAGATCTCTGTGGTCCCTTCCAATTGTGACATTTATGCCATGAAATCCGCAATGCCAAGATTTTCTGTAATTTCTTCCTTTCAGATCTGAGAAAAAAGCTAGAACCTGAAGGGGTGAAGCGAGAGTTCACCAAGCGGTGTTCAAGGCAAAGGTGCTCACACCTGAGCGCTCCTCCTCTGAGTCTGCTCTCACCTGGCTCTGTGGCCTTCACTTTTCAAACACCCAGGCCTGGCCCTCACCTCCTTCCCAGCTCCAACAGCCCTAGTCACAGCATCCTGCAGAAGGTACTACCCCCAACATCCCAACACAAAGTCTCAATGGGCTGCTGGCATGAACGAAACGAAAAAACATAATTTAAATGCCACGAAAGTGACAGAATTATCAGGAGTACAAAAAAAATCAACTGGTGAATTGTGAGACTGAGCCGCGGTGTGTTCTATAACAGTATACAAATCACACAGTTTTCAACAAGACAAAAAATAGAACAAGGAAAAGCTATCAGTGCCATCTTGTGGAAAGACCTATATTAAAATGTCCAAGGTGCTCTGGCCACACCCAGGCCACCTCAGAGCCGCTGAGCGGAACACTGACGCATATCCAACAGAAGCAGTTTTCCTTGGCTTCACAGGAAATGTGCCAACTGGTAAATGTGCCAGCCATTCTGACTGCATGATGTCACCCCTAGCTATATGAATACCATGTAAAGCACACAGCCTCTGACACCACACATACAATACACACCCAGACTGTTACACTCACGTTCGCCACACAGCATGGTTCTCCCAATGTGAAGAACATTCATGGACCTATCCCTCAACAAACACACTCACACAATTGCTACAATTGCCTATAACTTTTTCTTTTTTAATTTAAACTTGTTTTGATTTCATGTCACTTTTTGAGTTCATTAGAAATTATTTCTCTTCTTTTCTTGTAGCTGAATAGTCCCACCTACATTTGTTACTTATTGCCATATAAAAAATTACCTCAAGATGTGATGGTTTATAATAATTATATTTATCATCTCACAATGTCTACGGTAAGGATCCAAGAGGTTATAGTGTGCATGCCAGACAGGTCATCTAAGGTCTTAAGGGAGCTGAGGGAGCTGAGGACACAGCTCCCCTCCAGCTCACTCCCTTACCTGACACAGGTGTGAAGCCTCAGTTCCTTACTATATAGATCTCTCCAGAAGGCTCTGGAGTTCTCACAACAGAGCAACTGGCTTCTCCTAAGAGAGAGCAGGACAGAATCATAACCTTGTCTTTTATGACTTGCACCATGTACCATAAATGCCCTACTGGTCACAAAATGAGTCCTATAGGTGTGGAAAAGACCACACAGGCCTGAGAGGGCTCCCTGGCACCATCTTGGAAGTTGACCATCACACCATTTCTTTACAAATCCAATTTCCAAGTCATGGGATCCCAGGTGTGAAATGTGTTTAGACATAAAGGAAGAGCAAAAGATTTATGACACTGAGAATATGACTGCAAACCAAGGCTCACAAGAACCCAAACCCAAGTAATCACTTGCGATGGTGGAACAGGGTCCTACTAGGAGGAAGGGATTCTCTGACCTGGCTTCAGCTCTAGGCAGGCCAAGCAATAGATCAATCAGAGAGCGGAGCCTCAACATGAAAGAAAACAAGGTCAGAATATTCTTGTCACCTAGGGAAGGGATCTGGGGTACCGTAAAACCACTCTGGAGCTTTTCAATGAAAGTCACTTCCAGTGTTTGACAGAGGCCAAAATGAAAAAAAAGACCCTTCTCTTCATAAGAATTTCCGGTGTTTCCAACCCAAGTATATCTTTCCCCCACTGACTTGCTTCTCTGCTTGTTATTTTTACTGCACAATTAACTTTTTAATATATATTATCTGATTGACTTTGATGAGCAATTTAGTACTTTATTATATATTAGAGAACAATTACATTGAGTCTAAATCCCCCCAAAGTACGTTATAAATTCCTTGAAGTCAGAGAAATTAAGCATATTACTCAGCCCACCATCCATGTCAACAGACTGCTCTCCAGGAAAATGCCCGCCAACATGCTCACATATATACACATATGCACGTGCCCTCATACACACAGCCATCATGCTCCTATGCACACATCCTACACATATGATCATACATGAGCAAACATACGCACACCATCATACGCATGCTGTCATACACAGTCATATGTTCATGTTCACATACACAAGCACACAAATACACACATACCACAGAAGGTATGCGCTATAAAGAGCAAAGCTTATTCATCCCTTTTTACAAAAATAATGATTAGCCTTAGTCAGGATCACACTGACACAGTCATTCTTTCCTGAAAAGCATGGACATATAAAAAGTTCATATCAGGAAGGTGCTACAGAAAACTCAACATTGTCCTTGATCTCATGCAATTAAAAAGACACACAAACACACAGTCACACAGTGTTAGAGACTCGTGCTTCTGAAAGCACACACACAGTCTGACCTACGCACGCTACTTATTGAGTTGATTTTCATTTACTGGTTCATTTAACATGTATCAGGTTCCGCATCAGACGTGGAATTCATTCACAGATATAATGGACGCGGCCTCGGCTCCTCCACACACAGGCCACTCCACCAACCACATTACTGCAATGCCGGAAGCACACGTTTATGTGAGGGGAGATGAGAGGACAGAAAGAACCGAAGTCCTCCTAAGGGTCAGGTAACACTTTACAGAGAAAGGGAAAAGTGGTTAGGATTGCATGGCGGAGGCGGTAAAGGGTACTGAGTTATTAAGCTGCCGGTCGTAGCTGGGAAACCATGAAAGAGGGTTCTTTCTTTCAGTGAGACTCCCTGTCTCACCGTCAGAAAGTTAAACGGTACCTTTGACAAATGGCACCCTTGACAAGAGGACACAGCCCAAGGCAGGGCCTGGGCCTTTCCACGCAGGGCCTGTTGGTAGGGAGAAGGGGAATTCCTTCCATGTTGAGGCCCCGGTGGGTTGATGGGCTCACTGCTACCCCTGCAGAGACCCACACGAGGGGGAAGAGTCACTATTGGGGGTGGGGGCTTCAGGGGAGAAAAAATTGTGGGTTTGCTAGACTTAAACAGCTTGCTTGGCCACCATTTTGTTGACATGCAGTTCTGCGCTCCAGTTCAAGGTCAGAAGAACCCGCTCAATCAGTTATATGACCTAAAAGAATGTAGCATACCAGCCCCTACAAACCTCCTTTCAAGTTAAACAAGAGAAGGACATTTGATTGCCCTGGGGTAATGGGTATACCTCACAAGGTATGACCAGGAACACCCAAGGGCTATTGACTGATGTGTGACAGACATCCCCAGAGACTGATCAATGGAAGCCCCTGTTGATAAGCCTGGAACCATGGGTGAGGGTCTGGGGTATGGTTTTGATTACAACACCGGGTCATCAGGCAGATTAAAAAGAAAAAAACTGGTCAGCAGACTCACCTCCACCTGAAGTCCTAGATGACATAAGCACATTTTCACTTTCGCCTACCCTTTTTCTCTTTTTTCTCCTACCCCACATAATTGATGCTGTATGATTATTCTATCAATAAAAAAGACCAGGATCTTACTTTTTTGGCAGCATCCTGCATTGTACAACCTGCTCCGCAACTCGTTTGGCAGTACAGTGTTGTCAACGCAACAGAAGAGAATCTATGTGTGCCCTAGAAATGTCTTCCTTCTGGAGAAGGCAGCCTCTGAGTTCAATCTCCAGGAGGCAAGGAAGGGGCAGACGTTGGGCAGAGTGTGGGAAGCTCTTCCACAGTGAGTGGATGGGAAAAAGTTCCACTTCAAAGGAGCAGTGTAGGAGTCCTGTCTCCAGAGCTGGTGCAGCCAGAATCTGTGTGGAGAGGGGTTTCTGGGAGGAGGGAGTCCGGGCAGAGAAGGAACAAGTTGGGACAGGCTAGAAAGATGGACGGGGAGCTGTGTGGGAAGGGGAGTATCAAGGAAAGGCTTAATCAGGGCTAGGACTGCATGGAAAAGAGGAGGGGTAGAGCCTGGAACCTGGGGGACTGGAGGTTGTCCAAGTACATGGTATGTGCATTTTGCACGGGGTCACATCCGGCTTTTAACTTTGGGGAACGAGAAACTGCCATCCATTTTGCTGGAACCAGACCTTTAACTGATCAAGTGTGTGTGCCAGGAGTAGGTGGGGACAAAGGGAGGGAAGCACATCATGCCAAGTGCCCTGGGCTTGAAGTCAGAGAGCCCTTGACCCAACCAGCCCAGCTACTTTCTAGCTGCATGTCCTTGGCCAAGTTAACCAACTTCTCTAAGCCTCAGATTACTCATGGACAAAAGGGATACAAAAATACCTTTCACATGTGGTTCTTCCAGAAAGCTCTGGGCACAGGGCCTGGTACAAAGCAAGTTCAATAAGGGTTAACTACGTTCATAATTGTAATTAGTGTGCACCACTGGAAGCACATTGTTCAAATGAGGTTATGGACCCGTCAGACCACAGCTAGAGTTGGGCCTTCTGTGAATCACACAGATAAACACTAACCTCCCAGGAGAGGATGACTTAGAGAACCTGCAGATCATGAAACAGGAAGAGAAATTAAATCCTGCCATTGTTGAACCCAGATGATAATGAGGTGGGGAGAGGATGGTTTTGTAAGGAGCCAGTAGCCCATTGAGCTTCAAGAAACAATACCCACCTTGATAAAGGTTCTGGAGCATAGCTGCTTGGTCCAAAGTCCTCAGGTGACCAGAATCTCTGGTTGAGTTCCTGACCCTCTGCAGAGCCTGTTTTCTCATCTGTAAAAAGGGAGTTAATTCAATTACCTTCCCGATAAGACTATTGTGGCAAATGAAAGCGTTAATGCACCTAAAGTGCAAGACTAGTATCTAGCATACAGTAAATGCTCAGTAAGTGTTCCTTCTATGTTGTTACTATTTCACAGTAATTACTCTCGGGGTAGGACTTCAGGGCGCCTGATGGCAGCCCCGTGTGCATTAGTAATTTCAGCACAGAACAGATAAGAACAACCCTGAGCAGTATAAGCCCCGCCCGGCAGAGCCCAGCGGTCACACCCAGGGAGCCCCTAAACCCTGGGCGCTGCAGGCACATCCGGGCACAGGGGCAGCGGTGCAGTACCTGCCACCGGACGCCAGGGGGCGCAGAGTCCAAGCCGGGCTGCTGCATCCGGAAAACCACCCCTAACTCGCCCTAGGCTTCCTTCTCGGCCACTTGGGGACTCACCAATCAGCGTGCTCACCGCTGCAGTGATCCCGCCCACTTTGATTGCTCAACCAATCATCGCGTGTCCTTCTCCGGGCGGGGCCAGACAACGTTGCTCCTCTTCCTCATTCAGAGCCCCGCCCCTGGCGGCTCCGCCAATCCCCGCTGCAGAGAGGACTTCGCCCGGGTGGGGTTGGGGGACTAAGTGGTCTGGGGACCGCGGGGCCAGTCACCCGGGTCGGAGACCACGTGGTCCCAGGAGCTTGGTGGATAGTAGGTCACCTCGGCGGGCGGGGCCCACGTCGTCCCGGGAGCGGGGTGCGTGGGGGGTCCCCGGAGCGGGATCTGAAGGCCCCCCCGGTAGCAGGTGCTGGGGAGTTTGAGGGTCACCGGGGCGGGGACACGTGATCCTGGGACCCGGGTTGCGTTAGAGCGGCGATCGGCCTGGCGGACTAGGAGCCGGGAGGGCAGAGCGCACAGGCCGACCCGGTGACCCCCGTGCTGCGCTTCTTTAGCAATGGGCGCGCAGCCCCCCAACTTCTCGTGGGTGATCCCAGGCCGGCTGGCGGGGCTGGCGCTTCCGCGGCTCCCCGAGCACTACCAGTTCCTGCGGGAGCATAGCGTGCGGCACCTGGTGTCTCTGACCGAACGCAAGCCCCCTAACAGCGACAGCTGCCCAGACCTCACCCTGCACCACCTGCGCATCCCTGACTTCTGCCCGCCGAGCCCAGAGCAGATCGACCGCTTCGTGCAGATCGTGGATGAGGCCAGCTCCCGCGGAGAGGTCAGCACCGGGCCTGGGGGGCAGGCGGTGGGGTATGAGTGGGAGTGTGATGAGGGGCAGCTGCCAGAGCAGGGATTGGGATCCGGCTGACTCAGCTGGACAGGGAGAGCAAAGAGGTGGGGGGCAGTTAGGGCCAGAGATGACAGGTGTCACCAGGGCAGGGCTGGAGGCCAGAAAGGATGCTGCAGGTGGAGGGGAGAAAGGGCAGGAAGACTTGGGAGGATTCGGGGACAGCCCCCAGAGCCACACTATAGGCATTACTGGAGCCACATGTGTAATTTTAAAGTTTCCAGCAGCCACATTCTTAAAAGGTATCAAAGAAGCAGGAAAAATTCTTTTCAATGATATAGTTTAACCCAGTAAGTCAAAAATACAAGCACTTCAACAGTCAATATAAAATAAAATTTTAATGAGATATTTTCATTCTTTTTGTACTGTATCTTCAAAACCTGGTTGTATTTTGCATCCTGACTGAATTGGGACTAGCTGCATTTCAGGGACTCAGGAACTGTATGGCATCTGCTTCTGTGCTAGACAACTCAAGTGAGGAGCCCAGGACTTGAACCCTCTCCCCTTTCGGGTGATTGGTGGCTCCCACGCCACCAGAGATGGCACACCCTGATTTTCGTGTGTCTGAGTACCTGAGACTTGCTGCAGAGCCCTGGGCCTGACCCAGAAGCAGCAGCTGTAGGAAGAAGGAGGTGGCCCAAGGCAGGGGCACGGGCTCTACTGCTCTCTCTCCCTCTTCCAGGCTGTGGGAGTGCACTGCGCCCTGGGCCGGGGCCGCACAGGCACCATGCTGGCCTGCTACCTGGTGAAGGATCAGGGCCTGGCTGCAGGAGATGCCATTGCCGAAATCCGGCGCCTTCGACCTGGCTCCATCGAGACCCACGAGCAGGAGAAGGCCGTCTTCCAGTTCTACCAGCGGACTAAGTAGGGGCCTGAGCCCTCTTCCCGGGCCCCGCTCCTCAGGCCATGTTAGATGAGGCCGGAGGTAGAGCAGACTAAAGGTGCCAAGCCCTCCCACTCCCAGCTGACCCAGGAGACTAAAGGAGCCCTCCCAGGGGTCCTGCCGACGAATAAATCACTTATGAGAACAGTGCACATTGCAGGGCACTTTACAGTGGACAAAGCACCCCACACAGCTCCTTGGAGCCTCCCAGTTATGCTGGAGCATAGGCGAGGCGGGGGGCGCACCCTGTGCTTTGGAGGAGCTGACTGACGCTCAGGAGGCCCAGATCATACCTGTAGGATGGGAGCATGGGCCAGCACAAATCTTGGGGCTCATGAAGCTGTTGTGAGTCTGTGTGCGTACCTGATGATATTAGTGTGTTCTGGAGAGCTGCTCAGTGGAAGGACACACATCCCTGCATGTAGGGGCTCTGACGTTCAGGAGCAAGGAGCCCTCTGGACATAGCCCTTCATCTAGACCATTAGCCCCACGGTGTCCTCCTTGTGGCCCCCTCAGGACAGAGAAGTCTGATGTTGTAGCAAGGTAGTCTCTTCCTCCACCTCCCGAGAGCTGGGGACCTCAACTTGAATCCCACCCTGCCTTCTGCCCTGGCAGGCCAGGCTGGATGAGGTGGAAATTCCCAAAATACTTACCAACTCTGCCATGTGCCAGGCTTTGTTAGATGCAAGGCTAGCCTGCTAAGGAGACATGGCTCAGCCATGTAATGAGCATTGCCCCAGCATTCCAGCTGTGGTGTAGATGACGAGATAGGGTCCCCTGTAGGCCCCCACCTTTGTGGCCTAGGCCACAGTAGGCAAAGCCTCTGCTCCTCGCTGCACCTTTCTCCCTCCCCCTGCCGCCTGCCCAGGTCAGTGCCACCCTGTCCCCTGTTTATCAATCCAAGTAATCAGTTCCTCCCTTTCACTCCCCACTCAGCCCACCCAGATGAGGGCATCTACCAAAGAGGGGATCCCACAATTCCAAGCCTGCAGGCTGCAGCAGAAGAGTAAAAGGTAGCAGGAAGTGAAGGCATGCTGAAACCCTCACCTCCGCCAGCTCCTACCCCCACCTCACACGCTACCCCTCCCTGACAGCAAAGCCTATTCTTTTTCTCCATGCGAACTAGAGCCTCTCCCAAAGGGATGTATGAACATGTGTGTGCATGGGTGTGTGTGTGTGTGTGTGTGTACACGGTAAGGCGTGGGGCAGGAAAGCTGTGAATGCATGGCCTACCTCCTGGGCCCCTTCCCTCCACTGCCAGGATGGGGAAAGAGGTGGGAGTCTGGGAGCTGCACCCCAGGTTCATGCCTCTGCTCCAATAGATGGAACAACCAACCCTTGCATCTCGGCCCTTCTCTCTTCCTCTCTCCCCCCAACCCCCCCCCACACATCCTCTGCCCTGCAGGAGAGGAGTCTTCCCTCCTTCCAAGGAGACAGAAAATTTTTCTAGCCCCATTAAAGCCCTGTGTGCAGCCTCCATCCCATAATTTAAACAGGTCTCCTCTGCCTCAAGAGTTCCTTAGGGAAATAAACATGTAATTATGTGCTTAAGGAAATCGGTTTTTAAATAAGTAAGAGTTGACTTGAGATGAAAACTCTGCCCTTATCCTCCATCTACCTCAGAAGGTTATTCCTGAACTCCTTTGGGCTTGCTCCCACCCCAAATGCTCTGCCTTCTCCCTGCCCCCCTCTGTACGTGGCTGCCAGGGAAGGGTGCCAGGCCCCCAGGGCCCCTCCCACTGGCCCTGCATAGGTTGACACTTGTGAGCAACAAGCCACTCCACCCGCCCAGGGCCTTTGCATCGCATCACATCAGATTGGCCTTTGGGGCATACCATTCTCTGTTGTGGGGCTGTTATAGGGTGTTAAGCGGCATCCCTGACCTCCATCTACTAGACACCAGAGGCACACCCCCAAAACCTGTGAATGCCAAAAATGTCTCCAGACTTTTCTAATTAGCCCCTGGGAGAACCACTGCATCAGACCAGCAGACCTCCGTGCAGCCTCGGCTTTGGCCGCCCATGGGAGTGGAGGTGGTGCGGTGGAGGGGGACTTGGGGATTTCTCCTGTGGATGCTATAGACTGATAGGGAGAAAGACCCCAACATCAGCAAACACAGTCCCTTTCCCAGCATGGCTGACACCCCACTCCCAGTGCCTCCTCTGCTAAGGGGCTGTCCCCTTCCTATGTGCAGGGGCGACATGCTGCAGGGCCATCCACTCCCAACAACCTCTTTTTTCTATAGATCCCGTGCAATTTCTTTTCCTCCTCCACTACCATCCCTTGGCCCCTTGTTCTTCCCTCTCCCCCTTCCTTTTGCGAGCTCCCCCCTCTCAGAGTCCTCTGATGTCTGTTGATGTCCACTGGTTTTTCAAAGAGTTTTTTATTTACATTGTTGACTTGTGTGCTGTGTGATCCCACTCACCTTTTAAAGCTCCATCCATGTTTATTCTCTGGTAGGTGGGCCGAGTCCCTGCCAAGTGGAAGGTTTTCTGGATTTACACACCCTCCCTATCGTGTGGGTTCTGTCCCCATCACCCAGGATTCCTCTCCCAGAAAGCTGTTCTAACTCGGAAGTCCTGGAGTCAGGAGCACCACCCCCACCTCGCCCTCCGTGCACGCCCACCTCCAACTCTGGGTCCCAGGTCCACGCCACCTGCTGTACCCCACATCCCACTGTGGATGCCAGAGTGGGGAAGGGCATCTCCAGGGACCTGCCCTCTAATGACACACTCACAGCCCTCATAGCATCTAGGACCACCCCATGGGGCCCCTGCTCTGCACCCCTCTGCCTGCCCCATTGTCCCCAAGCCGGGTCTTGGCAGGCGAAGGTAAATGTGTCACGTGGGGCAGGGATGCCATCTGGACCATCAACAGGTCCCTAGTGAACTGGGCTCAAGTGCCAAGTCTCTAATCAAACCTACTGTCTGTACCTTCCGTTCTTTCTAAGGAGGAATCTAACATGGTCTCACAGGATTGTCTTGTCACAAAACAGTATCCATCCCCCCCATGCACCCTTCACCTGTCCTGGTGTGCTCTGTGACTTACATGACCAGAATTATCATTTATGAAGCGCCTGCCATAAAGCAGGTGTTTTACATACATTGTTACATCAATTTGTTCTTACAACCACTCAGCAAATCAGGTATTTTTCCCTTTCTATAGGGAAGGGGACTGAGGTTTAGAGACAAGTAACTTGCCTCACACAAGAAGTAAAGAAGCGTCCCACTTCCGTGAAGGAACAGGGATGAGACTCACTGTAACTGCAGACTCGCTCAATTGGGTTCCCGTCTGCCCAGCCCTCCCACCTGTTCCAGTTACACAGGGGAGTCTGTCTTCTGCATGGGCCTGACCGCAAAGACCAGGCATCAGCTCCCACTCTGCTCCTCACCACTCAGGAGGCCGCCTGGCACCTCTTGCTGGGGAGCCACGCTGTGATGGGACTGCTCTTGACAATGCAGCAGAGCTGAGTGCTCAGAGCGCCTGTCCCATCGCTGGTCTACATGGCACTCCTTCACGCATGCCCGTCACTATAGCAAGTGCTTCATAGACATTCTCTCTTGTAATCTTAAAAAAACCTTAAGAACAAGGTCTTAAAATGACCAGTGTGCAGATGAAGAAACAGGCCCAGGGCATTTCAATAACATGCCTGAAGTGACACAGCTGGAACAGGATTAAAAGTTAGGTTTATCTAACTATAAACTGCCATCCCCTTGAGCATAGAGAGAAGAGACTCTGTTAGAGAGAACATGCATATATATATATATATATATACATATATTTTTTTTCCCTTTAAGATTTATTTATTTTATCTATACAAGCACTGGGTACAGTCAAAAGCGCGGGAGGATGAGAAATCACCAGAGCCAGAGGGGAGAGCAGAGCAGGCAGACTGACGAAGCACACTGCTGAGGGGAGCAGTGGGCAGCAGGAGAGGTCTGCGCACCATGTGGGACCCTCGCCGGTGGGCAGGAATCAAACCAGCGCTGCAGAGGCTGCGGGCAGCTTCGCAACCCAGCGGTCAACCTCTGCACCACTGGGGAGGCCCAACATGCATATATATTTAAGGACAATAAATGCTGTCCAGAATCAAGGGGCCTGCACTCACTGGCCACCAGTACTACTCTTAGCACACGGCCCTGTGCAGCCCCCACTTTGCCCTGTGCACCTCCTGCCCTTTCTCAGCAGTGCAGCTCTGACTTGGGGAGTCAGGTTGCCAGCGTATCATCACCCTAACAGGCTTCTGCCTCCAGCCTCCTGCACAATCAAAAATATAGTCCCCTATGGATTTAGAAGCAAGTTACATCAGCACTCCTTCCATTACTTTTAATGTCTTCTCCAGCTATTATGGATTCAAAGCATACTCAAGAAGGCAGCGGGCTGGTCCAGGCAAGCAGAAATTTGAGAAACACATTGGTACAGGGCCATCCTGCGGCTGACGACTCATTTGCAACCTTGATAACAGCCCTGCGTGCCAATAAATTGCTTAAATTGCTTCCACCACTCGCCACCTATTTTCCCTTGACTTCTTCTGTCACCATGGATATGTGATTATGGAACAAATTGGAGATGTCACCTCTGAGTTTTCAGTACAGCAAACAGTTCTGGGATGTATAATAAACACACATTGTTTCTCTTTATAATACATATTGAGTGGCAATTGCTCCAAACCCAAGGCGGGCCGTCTGGGAGATGATTGGCGCAGCGCCGTCCCACGGGTGACACCGCGAACCGCCTTTGGTGGGCTCTCTGCCCTGGCTCCCCCGCCCCCCGCCATGCAAGTTCAGTGATTTGCATGTTTTCTCTATCTTTTGTGAGCTGGGTGGGACTGGGTGCAGACCAGGGGTAAGGAATAAAATCAAAGTAACCACCCAGAGAACAAATTGCATGCAGAACTGGGTTATTCCTGTGACCTATAAGGCTCTGGTCTTCCCCACAACTTTCTTCCCTCCCCCATGGCCCTCCTCCTCTCTGCTCTACCGACCTTGGGATTCCCCAAGACCACCCTCAGGTTTGAAGATTTGTTGGACAGACTCACATAAAAAGTCATTTATTTGGACCTCCCCTGGTGGTGCAGCGGTTGGGCCTGGGTTGCGAAGTTGCCCGCAGCCTCTGCAGCGCCGGTTCGATCCCGGGCCACCGGCGAGGGTCCCACATGGTGCGCAGACTTCTCTCTCCAGTCTTGCCCGCTGCTCCCCTCAGCAGTGTGTTTTGTCAGTCTCCCTGTTCTGTTCCCTGCTCTGGCTCTGGTGAACTCTCTCACCCTCCTATGCTACTGATTGTACCCAGTGCTTGTATAAATAAATAAATAATTTTTAAAAAAAGTCATTTATCCTCTCAATTCAGTTGAATTCCATAAGTGGATACAAATTAAAAGCAGCAAAGAAGAAAGGGGCAAACCCAAGAAAAACCAGTGTGAGTGCCCATGGAGTTGTGTGACAGCCCACAGTTCTCTAGGTAACGGTGTGATGATATGTAAGAAGCACTGCCCACTGGGTAGTGCACCCAGCCTGGGCCCAGGTTTGCGCTGGGGGCTGGGTGTGTAGGCACAGAGGCCCTGCGTGTCGCCTTACTGCCTGGTCTCCAGCCTCCACAGCGAGGGTGTGCTGCGATGTGGCCTGGTGCAGAGCAGTGGGATCTGGCCTGGCAGCATGTGGCCTGGTGCCATGCATCAGGGTGGGATGTGGGCTGGTGGGATATAACAGGGTGGGATAAAGCCATGGGACTAGGGGGACAATGTAAACAGAGAAAAGAAGGGAATGAGGGGGAGGTAATTGAGGGTAAGTGGAGGAGAAGGATGGGAAAATGACCAGGATCAGCCAATGACCCTACATTTAGTGCCTGGAAGAAGAGGAAACAGAAAGAGTGGCCAGTGAGATAGGAGGAGAATCAGGAAGGCTGGGGTGATGCCAAGAGAGGCGTAATACAACGGAAGTGGAGTCAACCACTGAAACGCTGCTGAGTGGCTACTTGAGCACAAGCAGGGCTGAACACATGGTCATTGTGACCTTGACAGAGGCATTTCAGTGGTGCCCAGGGGCTAACCCCAAATTGGCCATGACTGGCCAGCGTGTGGGAATGCAGATGGAAACACTCTTAAGAAGTCTGGCAGCAAAGGAGAAAGTTGGGTAGGACTAGAAGGGATGGGTAAAAAGAGGGAGAGCCTTGCTGGTTGGGTGGCATTTGTCTACATCCAACCACAGATGAAGAACCCAGTGGAGAGAGACTCAGGGTGGGAGCAATGGAGGGAGAAAATACAGAAGAACTCAGAAAAGAAAGGAAAAGGAATCCAATCTTAGGGTCAACATGGTGCCAGGATGCTCAACACCTGTGTCTAATTTCCAATGCCTGGCTCTTCTCAGACACGGGTGATCCTGTGGGTTTTTACTAGCTCATGGGCATCCAGCTTCCAGGGTCCCCAGCACAAAATCCTTTACCTCCACCTACTGTAAATACACAAGTCTGGGCCTTCTCATTTCCATCTGGGTCCCATGTATACCCAGGGAGCTGAAAGAGAAAATAAGCAAGCTGAAGAAAATTGAATCTGACCTATTTTATGCATTCTGTATAAATGCATGAAATAGATTATGTTTG